AAATTGAAATGCTTTTTTGAAAAAATTTTTTTTCCTCATCACACACATACACACAAACACACACATACACACACACACATTCTTAGGAGAATGAGGTTGGAGTCATTAACTACGGAGGAACTGACGAGCCTCAGGGTCTCATTTCTCCTAAAAAAAACACACACATGAAGCGTAAAACCGACCGGACAACCTTGATATGGTACGCTTCGGATAATACTGATGCCGGCGGTAGTTTTTGTTCAAAATTTTTTGGAGTCATTAAAAAAAAACGTTTCAAAATTAAAAATAAAAAAATTTTTTTGCCTTTCTTTCAAGATTATGATCATTTAAAGTCAAAATTGTGATCTTTTAATTTTTTTCAAAAATTCGATTGAATAAAACAAAAAAACGGCTTGATCGATTGAATTGAAACTTTTTTTTTTTTTTTTTTTTTTTTTAACGTCGCTTTATTTATGCTCCATTTTTGTGCTAATCAGCGACGGAGGTTTGCGATGTATTGGGGAATAAAGCACATGAAATTAAATTCAGTGGTGCTCGATTCAATCGGCAGAGATGGGGAATCGAACCCGAGTCCTACGCGTTGCGAGCCCTTCGCTCTACCGACCGAGCCATCGCAGACCTCTGAATTGAAACTTTGTGGGGTTTTTGTGGGTATATTGAACTGTAAAAGACACGCTTAACATTTCTGGTTTTCTCGATAGTTCCAACTTAGCGCTTGATTATCCCAAAAGCCACCAAATACCCTTTTTTTCTTGATTTTTCAAATTAATGTAAAGAATAAAAAAAAATTTTTTTTTTTTTCAAAAACAGTAGTTTAGTTTTTTGGGAAATTTATTCAAGATTTCAAAACCTACCTTCATTTTTTCGTGCAATCAGCGGTTGCTGAGATATTGATGGTTAAAGACAAAAAAATCCTTTTTCATTCAAAGTTCGATATCTTAGCGAGAGGTGGGGGTATTAAACTTTTCAAAAATGCAAATTAAAGCTGAATAAACAAGTTATCCGATCCATATAGTCGCTGAGTTAGAAAATTTTTTTCAAGTTCGTAGACTAAAAAAAAAACTGAAAAAATTTAATAAAAAATTTTTTTGGTATTCATGAGGATTGAGCAGAACATGTTGCTTGAAAAATTTTTTGATTATGAGATCTCAAAACTAGAAACTTCAAACTTGAAAATGCTTTTTTTTTAATTCCAGTACGACCATTTTCAAGGGAAATACAGCCAGTTAAAAAGCGTCAAAAAATTAGGGATTTTTTTTTGATCCTTTAATTTTTTTCACTAGTATATAATAAGAGTATACATAATGGAACTAGTTACACCCCCTTTGAGCTAGTTTATGGACGGATCGCTCGTTTCCCCATGAAGATCCCTAGGGAGGAAAAATTAGGGACTTATAACCAATACATCGCGATCTAGTCTTACGCTTGACAGAGCTAAAGATAGCGGCAGGTGAGAATCAAATTTGTAAAAAGGAAAAATCTAAAGATCAATACGACAAACACGCTAGACCCTTTAAAGGGAAAGTCGGCGACTACGCCTGAGTATTAAATGAACCTCGGATAGGAAAAACCGATAGTTATTATAAAAAACCCCTAAAAATTGTCGAAATTTTAAATCATAAAAACGTTTTATTAGAATTACCCAATGGAAAAACAATACGCAAGCATATGGATAAACTTAAGCTTCAGGCGTGACTGTATAAATTCAATTATTCACTTGTCTTATCTATTCTACATTCTTCGTCTACACTATTTACTTTGTTCTGTTCTTTCAGGTACTATTTCTTTGAATATACTTCTTTTCATTTAATATGTACCTAATCTTACTTTCTTTTCTCTCCGTATTCGCCCCGTCTATTATGGACCCCTAGCTTTATTTATATATATATATATATATATATATATATATATATATATATATATATATATATATATATATATATATATATATATATATATATACATATATATATAAATTATAATCAGACAAATGATATAATAAAGAATAAATATAGTAGAATAATTATATAGTTATCAGCGATAAAATTAGATTTGGTGGCTTCGGTTGTTAAAAATGTTTAATTGAGAATCGCTTGGGTAATTTACATACATTGATAACTAAAATATTAGCTGCATTCCCTCGTTCTTCCACTAAGTAAAAGAGAATAAGATTAGGTTAGGTTATTTCAATACCTATTTAATCGATGGATAGGTATCGAAGTATTATATCATTTATATTTGAACTGAAATATTGGAAATTGATTAGTTGAATGGTAATAAACCTGTACCGATTCTAAAACACTTTCCTTCTCGAGCCACCATTTTTGTTTTATAAACGTAACATACTGTCTTGATTCCCTTATGATTTTTTAAATGATACATTTTTTAATGATGGAAATAAGGGAAATAGTGATAGATGGAAAATCACTTAATTTTAATTATATTCAGCAAATTATGCTATTTCATGTCTTGAGGTATTACTAAGAGGCTGTGCCGCTCAATACTCTCTTTCGCGGCGATATTGCTGTTACTAAGCAGACCTTACATACCTAATAGCCGTAGCCGTATTTTGGCCACCTGTGTCGGTATTCACCGAAGTACCAAGTTGAGGTATGCGGTTGGCTCTTCCACTGTTCATTTGCACGTTCAATTTAGTGGTTCGTCTTCAGAGAGACAATGACAATGAGAGAAATACGTCACCAACACCGCCACCTTCTTAACAAACGCCTCTTGCTGACATCAGCAAGCGATAGAGTCGAAGAGTCCGGAAACTACCTCCATTAAAAAGTGGCGGTAGATTTTGTTTCTTAAATATTTTACATATTTCATTTTTTGTATTTTATAATTTATTCAATAAAAAATTAGTTATTTAATTAAATTAAAGTGAAAATTAATGCTAGAATAATAGTTATAAATAAATTTAAAAATCTAAATAATTTTTTTATTTAAAATTAAATATTTAAAGTGTATTATTAAAATTGTATATTCTTATTCATAAATAATTTTATTTCTAAAACCAATTAAATTATTTTTTATTATTTTCTATAATAAATAAATAATCATAAAATATAACAAAAGCCGTATTACTTAAACAGAAATAGCAGTTCAGAAGCCAAACGGTTTTAGAATCGGTACAACTTTTTAAGTCATTAATAGGTCATAGATTTCGATAAAATAAAGACATTATTGACTTTATTGTTGACCGAAGCGAAGCGTGAATACATTATTGTTAAAGTCGCGGGTTCTGGGCGTATAAATACGCTCTAGCTACCAAGAATACTACGGGTCTCGGTATCATGTGCAATTCAAGATATTGCGAGGATAAGGTGTACTCAAGCACAAATGAACGTATTAACACATACTCATGAAAGAAATAACAAACAATTTATTTCTACTCTAAATACAAATTTTGGAACGTGCATATAAAAATAGATGTGATTCAGCAATGCAACAGCCTTGTGAATCGGACAGCGTGTAATTTTGCGCCGCTGTAACAACTCGTACCAATTATGTACTCTCGGATCCGAAAATTGCAGATCAGCGACAACGGCAGGTCGCATGCACAATCGGGTAGTCACTTGCATACTTTGCGACGAACCCTCTCAGTACCGCAACCTCGCGCACTGTGAGGTTTCACGCAAGGCATTCTTCGCCTGCCAGGGGAGGAGGGGGGCACCGTCGCCATCGTCACCTAGCAAACGCTCCACCCGTGCCTACAAATAAGCCTGACCGAGAGACTTCAAGTCAGTCGGTGCTCCGGCTTACCATCCGCGACACCAACCAGAGCTGGGTCTAGCGATCTCTTGGCGCGCCAAAGGCTAGTTAGTTGCCCGCTCATCCACTTTCTTTCACAGCGGCGTTCCGTTGTGTAGAAGAAGGGACTCGCGATATCGACCAACTGGACTGCAACTGCCTTGTTCCTAGCGCAGCAGATACGGGTCAACTGCACTACCTTACGCTTCCTCACAGCGATGCCCCATCGTGAGAAAAAGAAGTCAACACCGTTCTACACTTCTGCCCAGCTCGCGTATGCGCTCTGGAATCAACGAAGTACTGGCGCATCAAGACCTTCACTGATTGAAGGGAAACTATTTCACCCACGCTCCGTCTGTTGTCAAAACAGTCATTTAGACAGCGACATATTATACTAACTATAGCCGGGCAGTAACACACACGCACACCGACACACCGCAGCCGTGGCGGATATATTTATACAATTATATTCCAATTAGTTTATTCATTTCTTGTAGGCTGGCCAACCGGAGACTGTCGAAACCAAACCCTGATACTAATAAACCCTATATATTAAGCAATAAATAAACTTAGACGATCTCCATCCCAAACCCTCCTTTTTCTCCGTCAAGAAAAGAACTCTAGGTTACAACTTACAAAGGAAAAAGAGAGAAAGAAAGAAATACTAATCATAAGCTGGTTACTTCGTAGGTCATTGTTGGTTCCTGACTGCACTTCGTCGGCCAAAACCATGTTTTGACAAAAATAGCAGGTTTGCGCGCGAAAGAATAAAACTTCTAGCTACTGGCTATTCTAAAGCTCTCGCGCAACTTTCCGCGATCACCTCGTCGGTCGATATCCGGCGCTCCGCGCGCCCTCTACTCTCTTCACCTCTTTTTTCTCTTTCTCTCTCTTTGTCTTTCCGTCTCTCTCCCGTGCGCTTGAAGAGTGAGTGAAACTAGAGCGCACTCACTCTCTACCCCCTCGTCAGCTTTTGCAGCATAAGGCCGCCGCTAACAAAACAAAAACAAATCAAACGTAAATGCGTAACAAAACGAGCACTCACGACTTGAAAACTTCAAACCATAGTGGTATGTGGGTGTTAAATGGGGAATCGGCTGGCAGAGCTTACAATTGTTTTAAAGTTGGCACAACGTATTTACGTTAGATTAAAAATAAAACTATTTTCTACTCACATCATGTAGTTATATAAAGTTTACTATTTATATTGTGTATTATTTAATAGTCAAAATTTTTATATTCTTTAGACTGAGTATGGAAGTATTAAGCAAAGGACAGAAATCGTCGATGCTTTTCAACAGTATCTGCATTGCTGCGGGGCATACGGACCTAACGACTGGGCTGTAAGTAAATATTCTAACAATGACGCTGGTCAAGATATACTTTTAACTGTGAGTCAAGGAACAATATTTAAGATCCCTAAAAGTTGTTGTAAAAAGCAAGAGTCTTTTGATTGCCAATCTTCTCTGTCACTTCGTGTTGCAGACAAAATACCACCCACCATTTTTAATATTGTAAGTATAATATTCATATATTACAACTTAATATTCCGTATGCTACACATATTTTATACATAATAGACTACTTACTTTTATATATTACTCTTATATATACTAGATTATCTACTATAAACTTCACCTAAATTGTAACAAATTCTATTTATCATACAGATTTATTAGTATTTAGTTCTTAAGATCTGATAATAATCAGTAATTATTATTTCAGTCAAAAAGATGAATGAGTTAAAAAATTAAAATTTGTCAAAGTTCTTACTCTATAAAAATAAAAATACTAATGTATTTTTCGCGAGCAATCTCGATCAATTACCACCTTCTTGATCCAAGTAAAACTACGCGGATCTTTTGCGAAGCGAGAGTGCCGGTGAATTTTGAGCGGTTGAGTTGTCTTGGAGTAGGAAAAATAACCGATTGGATTATTCCACTTCAAACTTAACAATTTATTTGTACTACTATTTACAAAGGTTGACTAGTTAAAGGCAATTGAATTTAATAATAAAAGAGTTGAAAATAACGGTTATAAAAATGGAGCGATGAGGCACAGCACGCACTCACCGAACTCCAAATTCAAAAGTGAGTGTCAAAACGAAGCGACGTTCGACTGCGCGGAAATGGGAGAAGCAAAACACGGTCCTCGCACTCCCGCGAGAGTGCGCGTGATAATTAGCGCGCGAATTCAAATGTGTAAATACTACTGTGGGCAAAAAGTAAGGTGAATTTTCAATTTAAACTTCGCGGGCTTAACATTTTGGGCTAGTTCTTTTTTTCTTGAGTTGGTAGGACTGCGAATGACATCTGGGACAAATTTCATGTCAATGTCATCATCAGTAATATATTTACGCTTGTGTTTACCAAACGACCAAAAGTGCATGTTTCGATTTTTACAATGTCTGATTTAATTGAGCAAAGAAGTGCCATCAAATTTTGTTTGCGGAATGAAATTTCGGCTGCGGAAACGTTGAGGATGTTGCGGAAGGCCTTTGGTGATTCTACCATGTCGCAGAAAAATGTTTATAAGTGGTACAAAGACTTCAAAGAGGGTCGAGAACGTGTTGATGACTTGCAGCGCTCCGGACGACCATCGACGTCAACAGATGACCAACACGTCAATAAAGTAAAGGAATTAGTGCTCGAAAATCGTCGGTTGACTGTTAGAGACCTTACTGATATGATCGGAATATCAGAAGGATCTGTGAAAACAATTTTGAAAGACCATTTGGGCCTACGAAAAGTCAAATCTCGTTTGGTACCGAAAACGCTCAATTTCTTGCAAAAAAGTCGCCGCGTTGATGTGTGTGAAACAATGCTTTCTGACTATCAGGACAAGCTCAAATGCATGATTACGGGAGATGAGACTTGGATTTATGCTTATGACCCTGAAACAACCGACCAATCAAGCGAATATCGTGCTAAAGGCGAGGCCAGACCGAAAAGAGCACGTCAAAGTCGTTCAAAAATCAAGGTCATGATGACAGTTTTCTTCGATTTTCGTGGTGTGGTGCACTATGAATTCCTTCCACCCGGCCAAACTGTTAATAAGGAATATTATTTGAGCGTTATGCGTCGTTTGCGTGAAGCAATTCGTCTAAAAAGACCAGAATTATGGGCCAACAACTCTTGGTTTTTGCATCACGATAATGCACCATCTCACACTGCACTCTTTCTTCGTGACCATTTCGCCAAAAATTCGACGCATATCGTTCCGCAACCACCGTATTCGCCTGATTTGGCTCCGTGTGACTTCTGGCTATTCCCAAAACTCAAGAGACCACTCCGGGGAACGCGTTTCGAGTCGATTGAGGAGATAAGAGCTGAATCGAAGAAGGCGCTGATGGCTATACCGGAAAGGGACTATTTGGCATGTTTCGAGGATTGGAAAAAACGTTGGCATAAGTGTATTTTATCGGGAGGGGATTACTTCGAAGGGGATGACATTGATGTAGAAGAATAAATAAAGATTTTTCATTTTACAAACAAATTCACCTTACTTTTTGCCCACAGTAGTAATAGACTCTTGCCTGGCGGCATCGGTCTCAACACCGCCCGCCTCGTTGTGAGAAACAACGACGGTAAAGAGAGTAACTGTTTCATTACATACTAAGTATCAAATTAAAAAAATAATAAATCTTCAAGATTAAATAAATGGCAAGCAAATTCAGGAATAAGAGAGAGAGCAATTAGTCTTCGCTAGCGCTGGAAATTGAGTCGTTGGCGTCCGAGACGTCGTCACCGAGGCCGCCCGCCGTGGGGACATTGAGGCCGCCCGCCATGGGATTGTCCGGGAAGCCAGCGTCTAAAGCCTCGGTTTCCACCGGGAGGCGGATGAGCTTCACGAAGGGTCGATCCAATGTCGTTGTAGCGGTCTTGAGAGTCGCAACACGAGGGAGGCCTTCTCGGCCAACATGTAGCTGAAGTACTCGAGCCATGGGCCACTTGGTAGCAGGAAGATTGATGTCTGTGATGAGCACGAGGTCACCTTCCTTCAGAGTTGAATTGCGGGTGAGTCACTTGGAGCGCAGCTGATGCTGATGTATCACTTCCTGCTGCCAGCGGGACCAGAAGTGATTCCGCATCACTGTAGTCAACTCGTAGCGTGCGACACCTGCAATTTGGCGAGAAATATCACAAGGCTCGGGGACAGCTGTGAGAGCCTTGCCGATGAAGAAATGTCCAGGAGTGAGCGCTGTCGAATCCTCGGGATTGTTGCTGAGAGGACAGATGGGACGAGAGTTTAGGCAGGCCTCTATCTGCGTGGTGAGGGTGGAAAACTCCTCGAACGTCAGTGTGGCGTCGCCGAGGACTCGCTTCAAATGATGTTTGAAGGATTTGACTCCAGCTTCCCAGAGGCCGCCGAAGTGAGGAGCGCGTGGAGGGATGAACTCCCAACTGACACAGTCTGCTGCGAGGGCATCCTTGACCTCCTTTGAAAATGAGGAAGCTTCATCGAAGAGGCGACGAAGCTCTGCACTGGCTCCCTGAAAAGTCGTTGCATTGTCGGAGTAGACAGTGTGTGGAATTCCCCGTCGTCCGGTGAAGCGAGAGAAGGCGTCGAAAAAGGTCCTCGTTGTCATGTCCGAAACAACCTCCAGATGAATTGCTCGGGTGGCGAAGCACATGAAAACGCAGACGTAGCCTTTGGTCGACTTTTGTCCTCGTCCCTTGCTTGTGCGCACCGGAAACGGGCCGGCATAGTCAAGGCCGCAGGCAGAAAATGGAGAAGACTGTTCTCCTCGAGAGGCTGGAAGCGGAGCCATTTGTTGCTCTTCCACTTGGCCTTGGAATCGGATGCAGCGTACGCAGCGACGAACAAACTGCCGCACGGTGTTGCGCACTTGCGGGATCCAAAAGCGTCGACGGATGTAGCTGAGGACAATTTGAGGTCCTCCGTGCATGGTGCGAAAATGGGCGTCGCGTATGATGAGAGTAGTGAGACGACTCTTCAAAGGGATGATTGGTGGATGAGCTTCGTCGTATGACAATCCAAAATTGTCCAGACGGCCGCCAAGGCGCAGAACTCCGTGCTCATCGATGAATGGCAAGCAAGGACGAACCGACGACTTTCGTGGAAGAGGCTGGTGCTCTCGTAAGCATTTGAGCTCGATGGCGTAAAACTCACCCTGAATTGCTCGAATGATAAAGCGAGTAGCGCCTCTCACTTCGTCGGCAGTCAAACCTCTACCAGGCTGATGATCCTTGTCAGGTAGCGCTTTGCGTTTCCTAATCGCAGGCCACCGTAGAACGTAAGCGTAGGCGTAGATGAGGACTTTGAGGCTGGAGAACCTGGTGATGTAGCTCTCGAAAGTCGTGTCTTGCTTGGCCGCATGAAGGACCACAGACTTCGGAGACTTTCGCTCGAGATCCGACGACGCCGACTCTGGTGTGGGATGCCATGAAGACCAGTCCTTGCAAAGCCAGGATGGTCCATTCCACCAGAGCGTGTGGGCTTGCAGCTGCTCCGGAGAAAGGCCTCGTGAGGCGTAGTCTGCTGGATTGTCCTCGGAGACGACGTGATGCCATGAGACATCAGGCAGCAGCGTTTGAATGTCACCAACTCGCGTGGCTACGAACGTTTTCCAATGGGAGGCGCGCTCGCGCAGCCAAGCGAGAGTGACAGTTGAGTTGCACCAGCAGAAAGTTCTGGCTGGTGGATGTAGAAGCTGCGGCGTGAGCGCAGCGATGAGACGAGCTAGCAGTTGAGCCCCGCATAACTCCAGCCGTGGGATGCTGACAGTTTTGATGGGCGATACCTTGCTCTTGGCGATGATGATGGATGACGACCACTGTTGATTTTCATCCTGGGTTACGAAGTACAGGACGGCTGCGTAGGCTTGCTCAGAGGCATCTGAAAACCCGTGAAGAAACCAGAGAGGTTTCGAGTTGCAGCCGAAGTACCTTGGAATTCGAATTGCTTCGATGTCTCGGAGTTGCTGGTGGAACGCTGTCCATTCGTCCAACAAATCGTCGATGAGAGTTTGATCCCAGTCGTATCCTTGAAGCCACAGCAGCTGGATGAAAATCTTCGCTCGGATGAGAATGGGTGCTAGCCAACCAACAGGGTCAAAGAGACGAGCGACGGTGGAGAGGAGACCGCGCTTCGTCAGTGGAGCCTCGGCTGCCAGTGATTGTACCCTAAAACAAAACTGGTCGAGCGAGGGTATCCATCGCAGGCCCAGCGTGGAGACAACATCATCAGCGGAAAGATCCAGCTCCTGCGTGTTGACGTCGTTGAGCGAGGTGAGGAGACGATGATCGTTGGCCGACCACTTATCCAGTTCCATTCCGGCAGATTTGAGGATGCCGATGAGCTGTGATCGGGATTTCAAAGCCTCCTCGATGTTGTTTGCACCGGCAAATGCGTCGTCTACATAGGTGTGGTTCTCGAGAATGGACGCACCCAACGGAAACTTTTCTCTCTCGTCCTCGGCTAACTGTCGCAGCGCTCGATTGGCTTGGTAGGGAGCACAAGCCGTGCCGTACGTCACAGTGGTGAGACGGTA